CCCGTGTCCCCTGAATCGGCAGGCGGACTCTCAACCACTGCGCCACCAGGGAAGCCCTAGAAATGTGAATTTTGAGCTGAGGCAATAGTTTAAGAACTGGCACAGTTCACCCCTTTGGCTACTCAGCAATCCGGATCATTTTACCCATATTTGAACTTTTGTTAAATAGCAACAACAGCATAACAATGTGTAACTATTCTTCATATACATGTTATCCTTCATTAGTTATAGTATCCATCTATGGGCAATGTCAGTTATAGCTCATATTCAGTCACAATCTCTGCATATTGGCTATCAACAGCAATCAGTATACAAATAGTAAGAGGAAGGAGCAGAGAGAGAGATAAGAACAAACTAGCTCACATACATGTGCACACACACACACACACACACCCCAACAGGCTAATTGATCATGAAGCCATAATTGATATTTATAACTTTCTTCTTCCATTTTCCATTCCTTATTTCCTTTGCTCTCAACTAGAACCTCATGCCTTTGGGATAATTTATCTGGTTGTGTACTCTATGTCTTCATTCCAAAAAGGTCTGAATCCTCAGTGGTACTACCTGTATTTTTGGTGGCTGTATTTTTCCATTATCTTTTACTATTGGACATGGAAGTACTGAAAGATGCCCCAGAGAATCCCCTGTCTCAGGATTGTCCTCTATAACCCTTGTAATTGAGATCAATCAACCCACCCCACTCTAGTGGAGCTGCTGTCTTATTTACCTATTAGCTCACTGGCATGAGAAGTCTAAAATAACCAGGTAAAATTTCAATTTCTGATTGGATGGGACCATTGTTGTTCAGTTATGGGAGAAATAACCCCATATATTGATTACTGAATCAAAGCACATATTGCATTATATGAGATAGAACTCCATATTTTCAGGGTCTTATTTCTGAAATGACACTGTAAATGAGTTGGTACCATAACTGAGGCCAACTGCTTCTGAGTGATGACACATATACAAGACCAGTCAGTTCTATGGACACAAGTTCATTGCTGCCATTCTTTTGCTATGAAATAATTTCCCGATCAGAAGCAATGCTGAGCAAGGTACTTTGATTATATCTGAGGCATTCTGTTAGTACATAGGCGGTAACAGCCACTGCAGTTAAAGTTACCATCTGATTAACTTTACAACAATCTATAGTAATTTTCTAAGGTCCATTCACCTTCTGTAAAGGCCAAAAAAAGATGTGCACATTTCAAGTTTATGGTAGCATTAATACATGCAGGTCTCCTAGAGATACAGTATTAATTTTTGTTTACTGTCTGGTAGGAAATAGAAGTTCCTGAGCTTTCACTCGTTCTTTCTGCCATAATAAAACTCCCGCTAGGAGTTTCAGAGAGCCAGTATGGGTTTCCTGCTAGTTTCTGGGTAGGACTATTCAAAATATACATTAAGGATCTGGGAAATAGCTACGCGACAGGTTTACGGACCTACTTGGACCACTGTGATTTGAACTTGGGCCAAAACACCACTTACCACCTCATCATCATAAACCCCCACTTTGGTAGACTGCAGTGGAGTTTGGCGTCACAAGAAATTAGTATCAATTTAGAGCTACTATCTAGAGGAAACTAAGACCATCTGTATTCACATGACTTAATTATCAAGATTCAAAATGAAAGTCCTTATATCAATAAGACTTTTCTATATATTCCAGGAAATTCTTGCCCAGGATGATAAGGCTGTAAGTCGGAATATAACTTCATTGTTAGCTTTATCTGAACAATAAACTGTTCAATCAGTCCTCTTTTCTGGATGATGGATGACTCAGCTGGCCAAACTCAGCTTCTTACCAAATGATTGTTTTCTCACCAAGACTCCTCCCCAACTCATGCTCGTGGTGACCATCAATCCTGTTATATTATGGATTTTGACCAGTTCCAGTCAGATGCCTGCATTGTTAGAGCCACTTCAAACTACTCAAATCCAGTTCCTAAAACTATACACATGAAACATTGATCTTCCCTTGTGAAACTAAGATTCTGTCAAGATGGTGTTTACCTTTTCTAATTAAGTAATAATATTGGCCTTGTTTGATCTGCAGGTTATTCGGGTGTTATTTTGGGGGTAAGTCAACAGACAACACTTTTAATTCCTAAAATGTTTGAATATATCTGTTTTCCCCATGCATGGTCACTCTAGTAATTGGCAACACATCCTTTTGGGTGAATATTTTTTTCCATCCCTTCACTTTCAGTCTGTATGTGTCCCTAGGTCCCTAGGTCTCTTGTTGACAGCATACATATGGGTCTTGTTTTTGTATCCATTCAGCCAGTCTGTGTCTTTTGGTTGGAGCATTTAAACCATTTACATTCAAGGTCATTATCCGTATGTTTGTTCCTATTACCATTTTCTTAATTGATTTAGATTTGTTCTTTTACTTCTTTTTCTTTTCTTGTGTTTCCTGCCTAGAGAAGTTCCTTTAGCATTTGCTATAAAGCTGGTTTGGTGGTGCTGAATTCTTGGCTTTTGCTTGCCTGTGAAGCTTTGATTTCTCTGTCAAATCTGAATGAGATCCTTGCTGGGTAGAGTAATCTTGGTTGGAGGTTTTTCCCTTTCATCACTTTAAATATGTCCTGACTTTCTCTTCTGGCCTGCAAAGTTTCTGTAGAAAAATCAGCTGATACCCTTATGGGGCTTCCCTTGTTTGTTATTTATGCTTTTCCCTCGCTCCTTTTAGTATTTTTTCTTTGAATTTAATTTTTGTTAGTTTGATTTTTATGTGTCTTGGTGTGTTTCTCCTAGGGTTATCCTGTATTGGACTCTCTGCATTTCCTGGACTGGGTTGACCATTTCCTTTCCCATGCTGGGAAACTTTATAATCTCTTCAAATATTTTCTCAGACCCTTGCTCTTTCTCTTCCTCTTCTGGGACCCCTATAATTTGAATGCTGGTGCATTTAGTGTTGTCCCAGAGGTCTCTGAGACTATCCTGGATTCTTTTCATTCTTTTCTCTTTATTCTGCTCTCAGCACTTATTTTCACCATTCTATCCTCTAGCTCACGTATTCACTCTTCTGCCTCAGTTATTCTACTATTGATCCCTTCTAGCGTATTTTTCATTTCAGTTTTTGTGTTGTTCATCAATGTTTTGTTTGTCCTTTAGTTCTTCTAGGTCTTTGTGAAAGATTTCTTGTATTTTCTCAATCTGTGCCTCCATTCAATTTCTGGGATTTTGGATCATCTTTACTATCGTTACTCTGAATTCTTTTTCAGGTAGGTTGCCTATTTCCTCTTTGTTTATTTGATCTTGTAGGTTTTTACCTTGCTCCCTCGTCTGTAACATATTTTTGTCATTTCATTTTTTTTTTGATGGGTGAGGCTGTCTTACTG